ATCATGTAAAAAGATATTATAGATTAAAGAAAATGAGTTAGAAATGACTTACAATTGGTTTGGAGAAGAACTTTTCTTTAGAAAATCGCCCAAAAGTCTTTAGGTTTTGAGAAGGTTTGAGAAATGAAGAAAAATGTGTCTAAGTCCAAATTAACCGGTCTCTGATGTCGCAATTGCGACCAGGGTTCGCAATTGCGAACCCCTTCAGGACCTGCTATCTTCGCAAATGCGAAGAATATGTTGCATTTGGGACCAAGGGAAATCCGGTCACCTTCGCATTTGCGAGGGACCTGTCGCATTTGCGACATCGGAATTGCGAGAAAGGGTCGCATTTGTGACCAAGGCCTGCCCAGGCTTGGTTCACATTTGCAACACTGGGGCTGCAATTACCAAGCCTGTCCTCTTCGCAATTGCAAGTCTGATCTCGAAATTGCGAGATCAGAGGCCTGGGCAAAAATACCAGATACCAGCAATTGCTCCTAAGTCCAATTTCACTCTGTGGCCAATCCAAAACTCACCCCAGCCCTCGGGGCTCCAAACCAAACAAGCACGCATGTCCAAAAATATCATACGAACTTGCTCGTGCGATCAAATCATCAAAATAACATCATTAACTATGAATTTAGCATCAAAATCAAAGAAAAATCTCATGAACTCTTAAGTTCCATTTTTAACGACCGATGGTCCGATTCACGTCATATCAAGTCCGTTTCTTACCAAATTTTATAGACTCAACTTAAATGCCAATAAGACCTGTACCGCGCTCCGGAACCAAAATACGGGCCCGATACCATCAAATTCAAACACATTCAAATTTCTAAAAACTCTTATAATTTCAGTTAAATAATTTCTTTCAAAAATTTATTTCTCGGGCTTGGGACATCGGAATTCAATTCCAAGCATACGCCCAAGTCCCATATTTTCCTACGGACCCTCCGGGACCGTCAATCATGGATTCGGGTCCGTTTACCCAAAATATTGACCGAAGTCAACTTAAATTCATTTTAAAAGCAAAATTTATTATTTTTCCCAAATTTTCACATAATGGCTTTCTGGATACACGCCCGGACTGTGCACGCAAATCGAGCTGAGATGAAAGGAGGTTTTTACGGCCTCGGAACACAGAATTTACTTTCAAAACGAGTGGTGACCTTTTGGGTCATCACAACATATGACATCCCATAGCTCAGAATCTTTAGCCATGATGAAGTCATGCATCCTAGTCTTCCATCATCCATAATATTGTCTGTTGAACCTAGGTGGTCTGTAAGTATACTGGCCTTCTTCGATGTTTAGGGGAGCAGCCATGAGGATCCTTTCTAGGTATTAACCTCATAGAAAGAACCTGCTCTAATACCAATTGATATAATATAATGGTCCACCAAACTCTATAGAGAACCAGGTTCTCTATCAGGTTCAACAGAACACGCGCACACTGCAGTAAGTAGATGACAAGAGGAATTTTTGGTGGAAAATTCCCAGCTCAACGGGATTAAAAACCACGACCTATCCTTGTAGGATTTCAATTTCACTACTGAGCAACTTTTAGATTACAACGTATGCAACCTAGGAATTAACCTCTTAATCCCTCACTAACTTGTAGTACTTTATTACAAGCCACTTTGTAATAACTATACTACAAAAACTTTACAACTCGACTAACTCTAGCCAAGACTCAAACACAAAGGTTTAAGGTTTACAAGAGTTTATAGAATACTTCTAAACAAGCTAAGTAGGAACTACAACTGAAGAACTAATACAAAGTTACAACTCTACTAAGGACATACAAAGACTTGATATGGGAACTGGTCCATAGCAGCTTCATACTTTGTTCTTGATGCATTGGAGAATTGTTTTTCTTGATGATCAATCACTTGGAGTGCTTGAGTAAATTCTCTGAGTGTTGTGTTTTACCTTCCTTGATGTTAATAATACATGTATGACATCACATACAATGATGTAAGCAAGGTAGGTAAAAAGCCTTCCACAGAAAGTTGACTGCTGCACTGTTCCTGTACTGTAGCGTGTGCAGGCAGCAACTTTTCCAGCTGGAGAGTTGACTTCGTACAGTCACCTCGGGAGCTAGTAGGGACATGTTCCCTCAGTTGTTCCTTCAACTCTGGAGAGTTGAACCATATCCGAAGCTGGAACCTTGTGATCTTAAGGTCTTGAGAATGTGTAATAGGTTCCTTATCTGACTCTTGATAGTAAGTTTGTTAGATCATCAAAACATAAAAGAAGGTACTCGTAACCAAGGTACTTGTGACCTATCACTAACGGACTCTGAACTGCCTCAAAATTCTTGGGGCCATAATGTTGCCACAATATAATCTCTTGCAGATTTAGCACTTTCTGTATAGATTTGAAATCCTAATCAACAGTGATAATTATGATATTGAACTTCGTTTTCTATATTTATTTGCAATAAAGGATGTTGACTTTGTGTATACCTAAACACAACTTTCAAATGCCTTTATGTTTGAGCAAAATAGACCTGCGTTACCAAGGAAAAATGATATTGTATAGCTGTCCTCAAATATAAATCGGATCAGATAATTTATCCGTTTTTGTATTACCCATTTTTATTGTCAAAATAGCACGGTATAGCCAGTTTTTGCACTGGTCAATCAAAAATAGCCAGCGTTTACCAAGTCAATGTAAAATAGCCACTATTTTGCTGCAACAGAGACCGGTCCCGTATAATATACGGGAGTTCGGTGCATTTGTGTACGAACTCCAGCATATTATGCTGGACCGGTATTCTTTGCTGTCTCCTGTATAATATACGGGAGACTGGAGCACCGGTGCTCCAAACTCCAGTATATTATACTGCACATTTATACTTGCTGGAACTCCAGTATATTATGCGGGAGTTCCAGCATAATTATACTTGAACTCCCGCATAGTTCCAGCATAGTTATCCTGGAACTCCCGTATAATATGCAGGAGTTCAAGCATACTTATGCTGGAACTCCCGTATAATATGCGGGCGTATTTTCCGAATTTTGAACAGTGTTTTCGCTCAGATTTATCTTTACATGAAAAGTGGCTAAATTTCGATTACTTTTAAAACTGGGCTATTTTTGAATGACCAGTTGTAAATTTAGCTATTTTTAAATTTTTCCCATTTTTATGACCTGTTCATATCCGATCCGACCCGCCCATTTGTCATTCAGCCCATGATTTAATGAACGAGCCTATGACCAAGTCAAATAAGATAAAAGGTTGACAGCCTAACTGACTCTAAACTGCCTCAAAATTCTTGGGGCCGTAATCTTGCCACAATATGATCTCTTGCAGATTTAACACTTTCTGTATAGATTTGAAATCATAATCAACAGTGACATTTATGATATTGAATTTCGTTTTCTATATTTATTTGCAATAAAGGATGTTGACTTTGTGTATACCTAAACACAACTTTCAAATGCCTTTATGTTTGAGCAAAATAGACCTGAGTTACGAAGGAAAAATAACACTGTATAGTCGTCTTAAAATAATAATCGAAAAAGTATATATTTTTTGTATATATATATATGTTGTACGTTATATACAAAAATTATACATTTTTCAAGCTATCGAACGTAAATAGTTTTTGACGCGGGCTAAAAGTGATAATTGCAATTTGAGCTATTTTTCATAGATATTTTGTTTTGAGCTAGTTTTGATTGAAATTATTTATGGACTGATAATTTCGATAGTTTCCCCATTAATACCGATGTAGTTTCTTGAACAACATTCTTTACTCCAAATTTTAAAATATTTGATAGCACATTTTAGACTTTTTAAGTGCATGATAATTCAAACACATATAACATCTATATATGTTTATATTTGCATATTATTATATCTATGTGTATGTCAGTATTGTATGATTGAGAGGGATAAAATACAATTAAGAATATCAAAGTCGATTGGCAAATCTTTAATTCGTCACCAATGATAGAAAAAATATTACAAAAAAAGCAAAGTCGAGTGTCTTGCTAACGATAGCAAAAACGATTAAACAAAAACATATTTGTCATTTTGATATTTTAAGTTGTATCATTAACTTTTTATTGTCATATTTTATTTTCAGGTAGAGCTTTTTGGTTTTAATTTAATTCGCATGTGTAGCACAGATGTCTATAATATTTTCATTGTGTTTGTATTATTGATTTTTTTTCTTTTCATAACGGTTAATTTCTAATTGCAAATAACGCCTACCTTCAAGTGGTTAGGTAAAATTGTCCTCTATAATAAAAATAGGTGAATTATTAATTCAAACGCAAGTTAGGAATATAAATATGATAATAATGAGATCACGAAAAATTGGATAACTATAAGGGCATATAGATATTATTAGAGGCGAATCCACATTGTAATTTAGAGTTCACATGAACCCAATATTATTTTTGCAAAACCCTGTATATATTAAGAAATTTACCAAATATATATGAATATTTGAATGTGAATTCATATATTATTATATATTAACTTGATATCGTTGCAGAAACTTAATAATTTAAATTCTGAATTCGCTTATGGCTATTTTACCAAAGACTTTCTTGGTACTTTTTTATTTATATTTTTAAATATATAACGTATAGTCATAGATGTTCTACAAAGATACTCAATTGGCATAGTTTCTAAAGCTTCTTGTGTTTCATTATTATGTGAAGAAAAAAAAAAGGGGAGAAAGAGAACTAGGCAAGAATTCAAACAAAACAACATATATAAGAGTGTAATGTACATAAGTCTTTTTTTCATTTCCCACCCGGTGTTCGGTACGTATATTGGAGCCTGATTAAATTCGGATTCGCACCGGGAAGTCCTACATTAGGGGGTAAAGCGTTTCCTAACAAAGACGACTCCATACTCAGGGCTCCAACTCGAGACCTCTGGTTAAGAATGAAGGAGTACTTGTCACTCCAGCACAACCATTATTGGTATGTACATAGGTCTTTGACATTTGAACATTGCTACATTTATGAGGAAAATGATGTTGCACAACAATCTCCTCTTCTAATCATCATAACCTTCTTATTTTACTGTAATAATCACAAGAAATATTGTATTTAAAGTAATAATACAATACGATACTCTAAATCGGGGATGGGATAGCCCGCAAAGGATGGGCTTTCGCTAAGGTGATACCAAACTTCTCCTCCATATCTAAGTCTTTTGGTGCAATTCCTGGCTCGAGCTTCCAAGTGAAGGAGTTCAATAGCGAGCCCAGCATTACCGGAACCATTCTCAATGCCAGTGGCAAGCCAGGGCATATTCTTCGACCAGCACCAAATGGAATCAATTCAAAATCTTGCCCTCGCATATCCAAATTCGAACTCCAAAACCTCTCAGGTTTAAACACTAAAGGGTCCTCCCAAGAAGTAGAATCTCGGCCAATTGCCCACGCGTTGACTAGTACCTGTGACCCCTTCGGGATGATATAGTCACACAATTCAACATCCTGATCCACTTTGCGCGGGACTAAGAACGGGACCGGCGGGTGCATCCTTAAGGTTTCTTTGATAATGCATTGCAAGTAAGGAAGTTGGGAAACATCAGCTTCTTCTACTATTTTTCCTTTTCCAATGACTTTTGCAAGTTCAGCTTGTGCTTTTTCCATTATTTCAGGTTGTCTAATTATTTCTGCCATTGCCCATTCTAATGTGCTTGTTGTTGTATCAGTCCCCGCACCAAATAGGTCCTGTAACATTTGTACCTCAAAATATATAACAGCTTATTTATAGCCTACTAATTAGGAATAGATAGTGTAAAATTAAAGTGTCTTTTGATTGGTGAATACAATATAATGCAAGAGGAAAGAGCAATATAGCCATCAATATTTTCAATAGAAAAAAACATAAATTACAGAAATAGAAAGAAATAGTCTGACATATACAATAAATAAATTAAAGCATCTTAAACAATAACATTACGGATTCTCTTTCTTTACCCGATGAATACAACTTCCTATGCATGGTAAATGATTAATATCGAAAATCGATAAACAAATCAAGATCATAGTCAATCCAACGGTTCAAATACGTAATAAGCCCGATTCCTTTTTCAATCTCTAAATTAGAGGATATATAAGGTCGAATATATATATATATATATATATATATATATATATATATATATATATATATATATATATATATATATTACTAGCCGACAGTCATATGCATACTTGAAAACGTCTAAAATGTAAAATAGTTATATCAGGAAGATCTATACACAAATAGTCTGCCAAATTTATTGTCTACTTTTTCTAACCGATATGCATAAATTATAGATCGATAGACTATCTTTTATTTTAGAAGTGATGAAAAATCTTTAAGTTTCTTTAATGCTACATAGAGAGATATTATTTTAAAATCATTTTAATTTATGATGGTAATCAAAGATAAAGCAGAGATAAATGAGAAGAGAACGAACCAGGAACATGGACTTGATGTGATTATGATTGATCTCTTGAGTGTTTTCTTCGCTGATATTCAGAAAATCTTCCAAAACATCACTCTTTGCACTGCTAAATCTACTCTTTTCCCTTAATCGCTCATTGATCAAACCATCAAAAAGTTTCATCAACTTACCAAAATGAAATGTTGCACGACGCCTTATACCTTGAGGATCAATCATTTCAAGTATAGGGAAAAAATCCACTAGGTTAGGCTTTCCAACCTCAGCCATAATGCCCCAAATCACATCCTTAAGCTCAACCTATAAATCCAAAAAATATAGTTAATGCATCCAGTGGCGAAACCAGTAATTTTTTCAAGGGTGAAGTGAAAAAAATTCCCCGGTAAAGGGTGTTTAATACATGTTATATACTCCTAAAACCTAATTATATTTTACTTATATACATAATGTAATATTTCGACGAAGGGTGGTCAATTCTGAACACCCTTGATAGGCTGTAGCTTTGCCCCTGAATGAGCCGTTCAGTACACATAAAGTCAAAACGAGGGGTCGGGTTGTTACAAGTTATTGATCAGCATTACCTTTGAATCCGAAAAGGGGTCAGCCAAGTCCTTAGAGAAAAGGGTGCTTGATAACAAATTGAGAGAAGTCTTGAAAGCAACTTGACCTATATCCACAACTTCACCTTCTTGACTACATTTTGCACAATAAGCAAGCAATTCTTTCACCTTTTGAGATCTTAAATGTTGATTTGCATCAAGCCTATTGGAAGAGAGGAGGTTGGTGTTCAAGATTCGTCGAAGCGTTCGCCATTGAGGACAAACAGGAAGCCATGCTACAGAAAATTTGTAATGGTTATGTGCTTGAAGAGCATTAGGAATAAATCTAGTTGAAAATGCTTGATCTTGATTTTTAAGAACTTGTTTTGCCATGGTTGAAGAAGAAATGACAATTGTAGTAATTTGGCCAAGTTTTAAACTCATAATTGGACCATAGATTTTTGCAAGATTGGCTAGTGATATATGAGGTTTTTGACCTAATAAGTGAAGATTTCCAATAATTGGCCATGGTGTTGGCCCTGGTGGAAGTTTTTTGCTGCATATTTTGGCTAGAATATAAAGAAAACTCAAGGCAAAAATTGATCCCAACACAAGTGTATAGTAATCCATTATGCCCCTCTCACAGTACCCTTTCTTCAACTTTGAAAAATGGAAATTAAAGATGCTTTAATTTCCTCTTCTGTCGGTAATAAAGTAGAGGTGTGTGTGTTTGATTTGGATCGTGCATTTAATAATCAGAAAACTGAAAATGGACAAGTCAGTCACCACCCCCTCGTTGCTAACAACTTTTATACAATACATAACTACTACCCTCTATATCAAATTATCTGTCGTGTTTCTCCTTAAGAAATACTTAATTAGGAGGAGGGTTTGACTGTTTTATTCTTACTTATATCTTAAGATACAATCTCTTTTCATTGAATACTTATTCTATTTATGTGTTATCTCTATCTTCGGGAACAATTGTAATAGTCACACCTCCTTTTTTACACACCTACCCCGAAGGATAATGTATAAGGGAGTTTTTCCATTTAAAGTGACATTATTCGAAATGGGATTATTTATTTATTTTTAGAGTCGCCACTTGGGATAGGATGGCTTTTGGTGTCCCAAGTCACCGGTTTAACTTGAATCCCAAATCGAGGAAAACTTCGACTTCCCAGTTGGAGTCTGCGAACCAGAAATTCTGAATAAGGAATTCTGTTGACCCGAGGGAAGGTGTTAGGCACCCCCGGATCCCGTGGTTCTAGCACGGTCGCTTAAATTATTATAATTGGCATATTTTCTGATTTTAATACATGTTCAACCTATAGTGCAATTTCAAATTATTTATCGCTTTTATTTAATTTTAAGGAAAGTTGCAACGTTATTAAAACATGCCTCGAATCACGTCACATAAATGCACCCGTGACTTTTGACATATTCTAATATCGTTGGGATTTAGATTTGGGTCACATAAATGCGCACCCGAGTTTAGGAAAGTAGCTTTGTTAAAATGCGCGCCTAAAGCAACTAGCGTGTTGATATCTTTGTGGGAGGCCATGGGAATTCACTAAATAGCACGTCCCGAGTTCTAAGTATTCTTTATGAAGTAATTAAAGAGGGCCACGCAATTTTGTGATTTTTATTTGGCGCGGCGTACCTCAATTTTATTTTTTAAAGGATATTCGACTAAAGCTTGAAATCCATGAACTATTATTATCTAGCATGGTTTAACTCTTATTTTAATTAAAAGGTTAAAATAATTAACATTAAACTATTACTCAAACTCTAATTAATTGTTTGTGGTCAGGCTAATTGTCCTAACAAGAATGACTAGGCCCAGCAAATAGCATTTAATAAGAAAAGCAAGTTCGAGCCCCCCAAATCAGGCCCAAATTTCAAACAACAACAACTGCCATTGCTGAAGTTTTTAATTCGGATCTACTACCTGAAGTTGGAGCTCAATAGTTGGGCTTGTAACTGGCCCAGCAGAGGCCCCACACTTTATTCAAACAATCTGTCCGGTTTTGGCCCAAAATGAGCCCAAACCAATATTGACTTTAAATTGGACCTCACAACACTGATCAGTTTTGTAACAAATGAACAATTTAACTTCGCTCACATCAGACACTTGCTCATTCTAAAATTCAAATTTCATATTCATATTCAGATCATGTTTAAGCTAACGAGTTACTACTCTCATTTCTGAAATTCAACAACAAACTAAAGTGATTAACATTTCCAAACCAAAGGAGACGCATGTTTTAACATTAATGTGAGCATATAAGTTGATTCTGGACTCAGTTTCAAACTAACATTTTATTCCAAATTTAACATCTAAACTAATTTGATGACAAAATCAGAACTAAACTATGCTAAAGCTAATAATACCAAACAGGATGCACATATGATCCTGATATAGTCCAACAGTCCAATTATTACAACTAATGCAATGTCCAAATCATATAATTCTCACATTCCAATGGAGCTTAAGTTCAGCACTTAAAGAGACATATTTACGAGTAAACTAAGGATACATCTATATGAATTCAACACGAATCAGATAACATGAGTGTGATTAATAGGAAAATGTGTAACAATTCATAATCTCTTCAATCCTGGTCAAATATGTTCTGATTCATACTTCCATATCATTTAGAGACCAAGGCAATACCTGGAAATTAGAACCAAAAATAAGAAGATCGAAGGTCAGCCAGGCAACAACAAAGTAACAGGTGCAATTTCAGCAAAATCCCAGCAAGTCCAATGCAAAATTCAGGAGTTGAGATGCAGCAAACACCAAAAATAAGGTTCAATTGAGCAAAGGACCCAGCTGAACTTAAGACCAGACTTTGATGATTCAAATTGACTCTTAACAGGTGAATTCCACCTAGTTTCAGCACTTGGAAGTGAATTTAAACTGCTGAAACTTGATGAAGCAGTAGATCTGGTGGATTTCTAGGCTATTTTTGTTGATTTTTTCAGGATTTTTGTTTTGAACTCTAAGATCTAAACTCTATATACTTAAACTCTCAAACTCTGCAGAAACTTTTGTTGATTTCAGTATTCCCTCTCAAACTTTCAAATGTCAAATTTTCTGATTTTCAAAACTTGGATTTCAAATTTTCAGATCTCTAAAACTTGTTATGCAAGGCAGGGTACATTGCCTTTTATAGGCAAAGATTAGGGTACTTTTCAGATTTTATTTTGCTTTTAAGTCCCTCATTTTGTGACTTCTTTATCAAGCTAGCATCTGAAAATTAAACAAAGGCCCTTGCTAGAAACTTCTAGGGATTTCTTAGACAATTAGGGAAAGATTCCCTGGACCCCTATTCCCCAATTTACCCTTAGGCAAATTGCTATTTACCCTTTAGCCCTTCCCTTGAGACCCCCTAAGTTTTTAATTATTCAATCCCCCCCTTAAAGTACTGAATGTCTACAAACCTGAACAAACAGAGAACATTCTAGCTAATGCCTTCAAAATGGATCAAAAGCAAATAAAAATGCAAAAATGAGAGTGCACCTAAACAGCTGTGAACCATATTGAATCCTAAGAACCCTAGATGCCTAAAATACATGGTAGACAATCAACGACTAACAAATTAAAAATGTACATTAAAACTTAGAAATCAACAGCAGCAAAGATACAAATCTCCTGAACTACGGATTAAACTAACAAACTGAATAAGACGGAACGACCTTAAAATGAAGAAAAACAAATTTCAGAACACAAAATACCTGAAAAGAGAAAAGAAGAACAAAATCAGACTAGGAGACTTACCAGAAATAGGATTCCGAAGGAGAAACTGGACCTAGGCTCTCATAGGTTGGTCGACTCCGGACACGGTTGAAAAACGGATTTGAGACAATGAAACAGACCCACATGAATCCCTTGCTCCAATTGAAAGCAAAAGACTCATGCGGGTATGGCCCATTTGGAAAACAGTAGGACCCTAGGCTTCGTCTTCTTCCTACTCCAACCCTTGTTTTGAAATTTCTCAATATGAAGGGGATTTTAAGGAAATCCCCAGGATTGAGAGACGAAGGGAACGAAGATATGTTTGGGGAGGTTTTGGGCGAATTAGGGTTCCGAGCCAAATTTCGATCCAAAATTCGAACCATTTGGGAGGGATTCGAAGGTTATCAGTCATGGATTCAGAAAGAGAAGGGTGAGGAGGCCATGGGGTGTAAAAATGGTGGCGATTGGAGACTCGCCGCTGCCGTGGGCGATTTCCGGCGGCGGCAGACAGCGGAGACGGTAGGGAGTCAATGGCGGCTAGGGTTTCTCTAGGGTTTGGGGGTTGAGAGACGGGAGGCGAGAGGGGGTAGGGGGGCACGTTTGGACACTTTTATACTTAGACACCCTAGCTTCAGGACCGTCCGATCAAGAAACCTCGACGGTCCTGATCTAATCCCACGAAGCGACGTCGTTTGGGTTGTGGGGGGCTGGACCGGACTGGGTAATTTGGGCTGGGTTGAAGGTTTTTTGGACGGGTTCAAGGGTAATTTAAACTGGCTGGTGAATTGTAGCTGGTACTGGCCCAACAATTTGGATGATGATTAATGCAATCAAATCCTAGGACCTAATTAATACTAATTAAACCTAAATGATGATTAATGCAATTAATTAAAACAAATTAAAGGAAAACTAACCAAATTCAAAGCTAAAAGTCAATTTTTGTGATTTTTGTATTTTTGTAAAACTATAATTACTAATTAATCTAATATATGTAAAATTAAATCCTAAATGCAAATACAATATTTTTATATTTTTATGAATTATCTAAATTAAACATGCACACACAAATGCAAACACACACAAAAATTATGCAATTAAATCCTAAAAATCAAATAATTAAAAGAAAAATCCTAAATCTAAGAATTCTGTAGGAGTAATTCATGCGAGGCAAAAATCACGTGCTCACAGCTGCCCCTCTTTGCTCGGAGACACGAAGGGTTTTCGGGCAAAGAAAAATGAGCAAACATGAGAGATTTTTGCCTGCTTGGCACTCCATGAGAAGCTGTTTTGAAAACCGTCTGACCGAACCCTGCTTCAAAGGTTGCCTACATATCCTTATCTATAAAGGAATCAGGTCAGTGTAGTTCTGGAAGTTTTGGTAGCTGGGACTACCGGGAGCTGTAATTTCACTATTGTTGCTGCTGCTACTGCTTGTTGACCTCCTTATTACACCAAAAGGAAAATCAAAGCTAAGCTAGCTATGCCTATCAACTATGAGTTACAAGATTCCTATCTATAAATCTCTAGAAGCTTGATCTTGAGTCTTAGCTGATTTTGCTGTGGACTCCGATCTGAATCTTGATGCTCGCAAGTTGTAGGTGTTGTTTCTTTCTGCAGCATTGGGTCAAAGCAGGATTGGCGGAGCTTATGCCTTCAATCAAATTTTGAGCAATCTGCACCTTTGTTTGCTTTCAACATTTGAGTTCATTTCTTTTTGTTCTTTTCTTCTTTTCTTGATTATGGATTGAGGCTAATTCCATCGGTCATCTCGCACCCTATGTCTTGAGGTCAACCTGCTTAAGATACCAAAACAAACAAACGAACGAAATTTTCTCCCCCAGTTTTCACTAGGAAAATTTCGTGAGTTAGTTGTGACACATATCTAAGCAATGAAATCAGGACTGTGTATCCTTGTGAATGAATCCAGGTTATGCTGGAAAATGACCGGGTTATGCCGGAAAAAGAAAAAATGGGGCCTCGGGTTATGCCGGGACGGAAAGAAAAGGGCTC